CCTCCCTGCTGGTGCAAGGGGTTAAGCACAGCACTATGAAGCTATTTGCAGTTACTGAAACCCAAGTGCAATCCCAGCCCAGGGAGGTGACCCACATTACACAGCAGACCTCCTACTGCTCCCCTCAGCAGTGAATTTCAGTCATCCACCTATTCTGTTCCCACTGTCTCTGGTGAATCCTCTCATCTTCAGCATCTCTGTCCTGTACCCTAGTTCTTGCAGGCATGCATAATAAATATTTTAAAATAAAATATATAAAGAACTTAGAGCCCAATAAAATCAACCCAATTAATAAATGGGTTAAGGACATGACCTGGCATTTCTCCAAAAAAGATATACAAATGACCAAGAAACACATGAAAAATTGGTCAACATCATTAGAGAAATGCAAAGTCAAATTAAAATAAGCTACTACTTCCCACCAACTAGGCTGGTGATAATAAAAAAAGACATTAGGCCCTCCCTGGTGATGCAGCAGGTTAAAGCACTGCACTGAGAAGCTAAAGCCACTTCCGCGTGAGTTCGATTCCCGCCTGCCCCGGAGGTGACCACATGGTGTGGCAGACCTCTCCTGACCCACCCGCTGCTCCCCTCAGCAGTGTGCTTTGTCGATCTGCCTGTTCTGCTCCCCACTCTGTCTCTGGTGAAGCCTCTTACCGCCCCTGAGCCTCTAGCCTGTACCCCGGTTCTGTATGTACAAATAAATAAATCTTTAAAAAAAAAAAGACATTAATGGCCTCTCTGGTGGTGCAATGGGTTAGGACTCAGCATGCAAGCCAGCCGCAGCTGCTTCAGTGCAAGTTTGATCCCCAGCCCAGGAGGTGACCCACGTGGTGCAGCAAACCTCTCCTGTCTCGCCCGCTGCTCTCCCTCAGCAGTATACTTCATCAGTCTGCCTGTTCTGCACCCCACTGTCTCTGGTGAATCCTCTCACAGCCTCTGCACCTCTGGCCTATACCCAAGTTCTGTGTACATAATTAAATAAATCTTTAAAAAATAAAAAAGACACTAAATGTTGATGAGGATGAGGAAAAGTGAGAATTTACAGTACACTGCTGGTTAGAATATATAATGGTATAGCCATTTTTAGAAAACAGTCTGGCAGCTCTTCAAAAGGTTAAATAAAGAGTTACCATATGGACTAATAATTCTACTATAGACACATACCTGAGAAATGAAAATATATCCACACAAAAAAATTGTACACATGAATAGTCACAGCAGTATTATTCATAAGTCAAAAAGGAGATATACATCTTGCAAGATGGTAGGTGTAAAGACGAGAAGGTGGCTACTAAAGAGAAGAAACCTGAAGCCAGGAAAGCTGACACTGGTGGCAAGGTTAAGAAGGCCAAGGCCAAACCCAATGAAGGGGAAGCCCCACTGCAGCTGAAACCCTGTCCCAGTGCGGCAGATATTTCTAATCCGCATGTATTCCAGAAAGACCATGTAAGATGGAAGTATTCAGCAACTAAACCCAGGACTGGAAAGGAGAAGGTTCTTGCTAGCATCTCAAAAATGGTTGGGGGTGACAAGAATGTTGGTACCTAAGTGGTTAGACATCATAAAATGCCTAGATACTAACTTACTGAAGATGTACCTGAAAAGCTGTTGAGCCAAAGCAAGAAATACTTCAGTCAGCATGTGAGAAAACTGTGAGCTGGCATCACTCCTGGGACTACTGTGATTATTCTAACAGGATATCACAGAGGCAAGAGGATGGTTTTCAAGAAGCTGTGTAAGCCCTGGACACCATGGAGGTGAGATTGTCAACACAGAGGAGAAATACAAGATTACAGAGCAGCACAAGGTTGGTCATAAAACTGCACTCACAAACTCTGCTAAAAGTCTAGGCTGGGGCCCTCCCTGGTGGTGCAGCGGGTTAAAGCACTGCACAAAGAAGCTTATGCCACTTCCGCATGAGTTCCATTCCCGCCTGCCCCGGCGGTGACCACATGGTGCAGCAGACCTCTCCTGACCCGCCCACTGCTCCCCTCAGCAGTGTACTTCATCAATCTGCCTGTTCTGCTCCCCACTCTGTCTCTGGTAAATTCTCTCACCCTCCGCATCTCTGGCCTGTACCCCAGTTCTGTACAAATAAATAAATCTTAAAAAAAAAAAAATCTAAGCTGTTCCTTGGCTCATGGACTACTTCCACTGTATGCTCTCACAAATGGAATTTACCCCACAAATTGGGGTTCTAAACTTTCTACAAAGACTTTAATTAAATGATCATTAAAATAAAAGTAGAAACAACCTTAAGGTCCATCAACTGATGAAAAAAATGTGGTATATAGGCCCTCCCTGGTGGCGCAAGGGGTTAAGTCACAGCACTATAAAGCTATCTATAGCCATTGCAGCACAAGTTGGATCCCCCACCAGGGAGCTGACCCACATGGCACAGCAGACCTCTCCTGTTTCACCCCCTGCTCCCTTCTACAGTCTATTTCAAGAGATCTGCCTGTGGTGCTCCCTACTTTGTCTCTGGTGAATCCTTGCATACACACCCCACACACACCTCTGGCCTGTACCCCAGTTCTTGAATGCATAAATGAATAAATCTTTTAAAAAAAAAAGTAACAGCCCATTTTTTTTAGTGTTTCCAATAACATGCTACTGAATTAGAACCTAAGCAAAGTCTCCTTGCTATAACTGTTCTAACTACATATCCTTCTAATTTTAGTTACTGTAGGCTTATTTACTCCAGTGTTCCTAATCACTGGATATGTAATGTTATCCTTTAAGAGTTGTGGTAAAACATACATAAAAACTGTAATTTAACCATTTAAGTAATTATTTATATTAAGCACATTTACAACGTTCTGCAACCATCTCCAACATCCAGTTTGGTAATTTTTTCAGCATCCTCAAAATTGTGCCCACTAAATAATGTCTCCAATACTTCCTCTTCTCCCATGATCTCTATTCTACTTTGTCTCTCTATGAATTTGCCTATCCTAGTGTAAGTGGAATCATACAATATTTAACCTTTTGTGTCTATTATTTCCACTTGCATTATGTTTGCAAAGTTCATTCCCTTTTTTGGGCATCAATCAGAACTTCATTCCTTTTAAAGGATAAATAGTATTCCACTATATGTATATACCACATGACTGGGTTGTCAACTTAGTTTGTCTCTAGGGCTTGGTTATTGTGAATAATACTGCAATAAACATTGGCACACAAGCACCTGTTTAACTCCCTGCTTTCAACTGCTTTGAGTATTTACACAGCAGTGGAGTTGCTAGATCATATGATAAAAATTCTGTTTGACTTTTTGAGAAACTGACAAACTTTTATTTTTACAGTGGTTGAACCATTTTATGTTCCCAGCAACAATGAGCAAGGGTTCTGAGTTCTCTACATCCTCACAAACACTTGCTATTTTCTGTTACTTATTCATAATAGTCATCCTCATAAGAGTAAAATGGCATCTCCTGTACAATTTATTTTTAGTCTATTATCTGTAAATAAAAGTTCACCTTGTGTTGATTTCTATAATTATATATAACAAGCCACTTGAGATATAAACAAGAAAAACGCACTTAAATACCAGTAAAATAAAGCACACTTACAAAGACTTAAATTAAGTAAAGTCAATTTTAAAAAGGATAACAAAGAGGACAAAAAAAGTGGTGATACAAATCACAACTTCTGAACTGTGTTACCTATCTGGGACAAATGTTCAAAATATCAATGTTTTCTGTAAATAAAAATAGTCACAAAGCAAGTTACAACATTGTGACTTATAAAGATGACAGTGAAGCAAACACTGGAGTGACCATTAGAATAAAGCTTTTAAAAACACATTTATTTCTGGGATATTCTAGTCCCCTGACCCCATTTCAAAGAAAAGTAGATTTGAAATCACACAGGTTTGACTTGTCCAAGACCATAAAGCAAATCTGTGAAATCAATTTGGGAAAGAACAATTTCTGATTTCCAGATTTAAGGTTAAAAACTCATAATTTAATTTCTAGCAAGTCAAATGAGACACTAAGAACAATTTCTGCTCTTCGTATGGACACTAAAGCATACCACTTTACCACTTGGACTACAACGACAACTTTTTGCTTGCATGACTTGACTGTAAAGTCAGAACTTTTCTTTTTCAGTATTCTCTAGTAACACTAAGCCTGTCTCTCAAACGTTTCGTTTGTTAAATTTTGGATATTCAAAAGCTGGACGATTCTATTGTTACAAAGACAAAGCCTAGGTTGCAAGAAAATGTAAATGCTTTTTGACAATCTCGCTTAACACAGAGGTAGGAAGTGTTTACTTGTCTTTCCTGCGCCCCCAAACTAAACCAGACAACTGTTTATCCTTTTCAATTGGATCTGCCGTTTTTTTAGCCAAACAAAAACATACACGTTAGTATTTATAGCGTAAGTATGCAGAGGTGAAATGACCTGACTGGATCAGCCTTTAAAATACTTCAGCCAAGCTAAAAAAAAAAAAAAAAAAGTATAGCTGAAACATTTGTGACAGCTAAAACTGCTGATCGTGGAGTTGGAGTACTGGAGTTCATTTCGCTTTTTCGATCTAATTTTTGACTAGGCTTTAAAGTTTTTCACAATAACTTCACAAAATGAATTATTTCCAAATAAGGTCACCGTCCGGGTGCTTAAATTCGAGTCGGCGCAAGTGAATGTCCAGGTCTTCGAAAGGAAACCGGGCGAAGGGTCCGCAGCCCACGGGCGGGCTCCTCGGGAGAGGCAGCCGTGGGCTCCGCGCCACCAAGCGGGCCGAAACGCGCACGTTTCCTCCACGGCAAAGCCCGAAAAATCCCTCGGTGCGCCCCGGGGTTCCAGGGACCGCGGAGCTCAACTGGGAGGTGGCGCACGTGGGGACCCTGACAAACTCCGCCGAGAGTTCCCAGCTCCCCACCCGGGCAGTCCGCGCGCCCCCGCCACCTTGCAGCCCCCCTGGACGTCTCCCAGTCTGCCGCACGGTTCCCTCGGTCCCCCCGCGGCGAGCCTCGGCCCAGCCCCGCCGCCTACCGTCCAAGTCCTCGTCGTCCTCCGAGTTGCTCTCGGTGTTGGCGTCGGCGACCAGGCCCGGGTCCGGCTCCGGACTCTGGGAGTCGGAAGGAGGGGCGGTGGGCGGGCTGGCGGCGAGGGAGCGGGCCTCGCGCAGCCGGGTGAAGTAGCTGACCGCGAAGTCGACGAGATCGGGCGGCTGCTGCCGCAGCACCTCCACCGTGTAGCCCTGCAGCAGCTCCGTGAGCCCCGGCGGGATCTGAATGTGGCTCATGCCGGCGGCCGCTGCGAGCACAGGCGGGTCCCGGCCGCCGGCGGCCACTACCTTCGCGCGCTCTCACGCCGGCCTCGCGCCAAGCGCCCGCGAGGTCTCACGCGCGATCCGGGGCGTGCCTTCCCCGCGCTCCGCCGCCCTCTGGTCGGATGCGCGTTTCCGGGCGGCACGACCCTGTGCTACTATGGCCGGCCTGGAGCCACCGCCGCTGTCACTGGGCAGCCGCCGCCGCTGCGGGGACCGACGAGCGGGCTGCTCGGACGGGCGGGGCAGGAGCCTGGGTTGTGACGCACGCGGCTGCGGGCGTGCGCGTCCCCGCCAAGCGCCGGCCCTCAGTGCGCGTGCGCCACTGGGTGGCCAGCACGCCCTGGGCAATCCCTGCAGTCGAAGCACTGGAGTGGACTCTGTGAATGAAATTAAGGAGCCGTCTACTCGCTAACTGCCGTCGTTGGCGCCACTCAGCTAGTCTTGAAGACCTTTCATTTATTCTTTGAGCACACACAGAAGAACCTCTTGTTTGCCAGTCCTACTGTGCACCAGAGACACAGACAGATGCAAACATACATTACCAGCCCAGTGTGATTTCAACTGCGGTGGAAAGCAAGAGGATCCACACAGAGGGTGACACTCAAGCCCACTGGAAGGCCTGAGCAGGACCCAAACAGGAAGATTTGGAGAAAAGTCGTCTGTGGACACAGCATACAGGTCTGGGTAGCTGGGGGAAAATCGGGAGTAATGAACAATAGTACCCTCAGAAAAATGGCTGAAGATCTATCAGATATATCAAACCGAGAAGATCTTGTAGGTGGTAAGAATTTCAGTGTTACTGTAATTTGGGAGCCACAAACAGGGAAATAGGTCTGGAGGTGTTCACACAAGCTAACCTCTACAGAAAAGGGAATGAGGCCCAGGGCAGGAACTACCTCTGTCTTCCTCCTTCCCAGTATTCCCACCAGGTGTCCTGGTATTGGTCTGCACACCCAGTCTTTTCCCACACTCTACTGTGGGTCCTGAGCCAGCATTGCATGAAGATGTTGAGCTGATCACAAAGCACTGTTATCCTTTGCCCCTAGCGTGGGTAGGCTATTTACCAGCTTGCCCTTCTCAGCCACACCATATTGGGATGAAAGAGAAAAAGTTGGAAACTACCTGGAATGCCCAAGCCACAGCCAAGGTGCTAACCAAAGTCCCAGCTGGCACAGGACAGAGCCCTCCCTCCCCTTGTCAGTGTAACTAGCTATAGGCTTGGGAACCTGAAAGGCATTTGGGACAGTTAAGCTCCACCTGGTAATTACCCAGTATTAATTAAAATCCTCACTAGGACCTGTCATATTGGCTTGGCACATACCCAAGAGCTCAGCGCTGCTGGGAACTGAGCTTCTGAAAGCAGAAGCAACCTATCCTTCCTGGCACAGAAGTCATCCCAGGCTCTATGCCAGGTAGGCCTGTGAATCCAAACAGCAGTGTCTCCCTGGACAAGTTCCTTGACCATTGGAAGTCTTGGACCTTCAATTTTGTGAGGGGAGGGGTATGTTCTCTGCTGGGTCCTTATTGCACACATATAGTCTCACTGAATAAAAGAATGATAAATTTCTACATAGCAAGCAATGTCAATGAAACTATTCTCTGACCCCACAGTCTCAGAATTAGTAGCTTATGCTTCAAAGTTGTTTACTTGATCTTAGAATATGAAGATTTTACTTAAGGACAGGCAGTCCTTAAGTAAAAAAAGTCCTTCTATTTTCTCTGTTCTTGGGAATGTTAACCCTTCCAAGAGGAGTCAGCCATACCCATGAAACATGGGTGTGACTCCCACTGCACCTCTGCACAGAGAGCTCTACCACTTCAAGCAATCCCACAATGAAACCTTTGGAAAGGCAGATTTGCAATTCTTCTCGCTAATATGCCCATTTGTGAGGTTTCATGTTTTAAAGGTGGAAAGGCACCTGTGCAGTTAGGACTCCAATTTCTATTACAATACAATGTAAAGGGATACTACCCTAGGGCTGAGGACAGAACTCGATGGGTGAGTTCACCCAGTCACTTCAAGCAACCCCCATAAACTTGTACCCAATAAAATGTCAGTCTTGTAGTATACCCAGGATCTGCCTCTGAGATGCCTCAGGGTAAGGACAGAAGCTAAGAGACAAGGGAGAACCTGATAGGAGAGTCACAGCCTTCAGGAAGCAGCTGGTCCTAGGGTCTTCCCATTGACTGTTGGGACTCTGTATGCCACCCCTGGCCTCACTCACGGGTTAGTTGCCTTGGCTTTCACACTGTACTCAGACAGGTCTCTTGAAGATTGGGTCAGGCAGCCTTGGGACAGCCTCTGATAGCTCTGGACATCCAGACTCCCCTCTATTATCAACTTACCATATCTTGGCAAATCAGTTTACTCTGCATTAGCCTTGGCTTCCACATCTGAAAGTGGAGGTAAAAATCCATACCCATTAAACATTAATTTACACTGGGATAAAGAAATGAAAATAGGGCCCTCTTTGGTGGTACAAGGGTTAAAGCGAAGTACTGAGAAGCAAAGCTAGCCAGCCACTTCAGCTGAAGTTTGATCCCTAGCAGGGAGGTGATGTCTCCTGTCTTGCCTTCTGCTCCCCTCAGTGGTATATTTCAGTCAATCTGCCTGTTCTCTGGTGAATCCTCCCTACTCTGTCTCTGGTGAATCCTCTCACCGTCCCTATAACCCTGGCCTGTACTCCAGTTCGGTATGCATAAATAAAATCTTTTTTAAAAATGAAAATTAATCCTTACCAGGGTCTCCCTGGTGGCTTAAGGGTTAAGTCTCAGCAATATCACTGCAAATGTCCACCACTATGGCCTCAGTTCTGTCCCTACCAGGGAGCTGATCCACATGGTGCAGCAGACTTCTCCTGTCTCACCTGCTGCTCCCCTCAGTAGCGTATTTCAGTAGATCCATCTGTTCTGCTCCACACTCTGTCTCTGGTGCATCTTCTCATTCCCAACCTATGGCCTACACCCTAGTTCTTGTATGCATAAATAAATAAAAATTTTAAAAAATCTTAAAAAAAAAAGAAAATGAATCCATGTCATTATTAGAATAAGCATAGGGGGTTCCAATCTTAAAAGAACTGTAGGGAAGGCCCTCCCTGGTTGTGCAATGGGTTAAAGCACAGCACTATGAAGATATCACAGCCACAGCAGAGCTGAGTTCCATCCCTGGCCGGGAGGTGACCCACATGGCATGGCAGATCTCTCCTGACTGACCTCTTCTGACCTGCCCGCAGCTCCCCTCAGCAGTATATTTCAGCCAATCTGCCTGTTCTGCCCTCCACTCTGTCTCTGATGAATCCTCTCATCCTCCCACACCTCTGGCCTGTACTCCAGTTCTGTATGCATTAATAAATAAATAAATCTTTAAAAAAAAAAAAAAGCAACTGTTGGGAAAGAACTATGGGTAAAAATAGTATGACCTCCCAGCAGAAATGGTGCTGATTGCTTCTAAAGGCTGCCTCTGCAACAACTAGCTCTCAGCCTCTCACCTTTGACCCAATTACACTCTTCTTTGTGCCTGGGTGAGGCTATTAACAGCAGCTAGTTATTTTAAAAATCGCTGTCTGGCTTCTACTTAAGGCTGTCTGTGACAGAGAAATTTCTGGGGAGGGTCCAAATTTCTCCCCATCTTCACCCCCAACAGGGAAAGAAGAGATACATCAGGAACAGGTGGCATTTCAAAGTGCAACATAAAAAGGAAGTGCCAGCCAGGAGGGAGTTACTCACCATCTGCTCTGCTCCCTTCACAAACATGCCTCTAGGGACCTCCCTATTTGACTTAACAGCTATTAAATACCTAAAGGAGTAAAGAATCTACCTTCAGTAACATCAAGGAACCAAAATATTCAATTTTAAAATGAAAGCTGTTTCAAAGGGCAAACTACCCAGAAGCACTTACTTTAGAAGTGACTCTAAGCCATGAAAATAGCTGACATATGACAGGAATGCAAATACACTCAGAGGGGCCTCTGAAAAAGGCCAAGGTTTCAGGACAGTCTCATAGATGGGATAGTGCCAACAAAAGCTTCAGGAAACACATATGTAGCTATCAAAATCAGTGAGAGATGAAACAAAGACATCCTGCAGCATGACAGGGTGCAGATGTCACACTGAACTATCTTCCCAGGCACAAGGCGCACAAGTTTCCTCTCTAGAAAGTGTTATTTTTCACTTAACCATAATTCCTATCTGATCAAGAAATATCTTCCCAGAAAAAAACACTTCCTTTCTTAACCCCCAATTCTTCAGTTTCCTACTAGGGTGGTCACACCCTCTCCCAGATGGGGGTGAGTCTGCTCCTTTTAACCCAGTTACACAGAGTGATGGTTCAAGTGCCAAAGTCCAAGGGTTTCTGTGCAGCAGCAGTAAGTGGGGAAGTGCCAACAGGACTGTAAATGTGTCTGCCAGAGGCTAGTTCCAACAGTCTTGCCCTCCGCCAAGCAAGGACAGCCTAATTTGTGATTTTCCACTCTGACTTTCTCACCCCCTCCGGCATACCTGGGCATCATTAGTAAACCCAGGCTGGCACATCAGATCACACAGCAACCTCAAAGGACAATACGAACTTAGGACTGTTTTTGACCATTCAGAACAACTGACACTCCATTCATTAGTTCAGATGGCCATGGAGGGCCGCATGCCAGGCTTGTACTAAGAGCTGTAAGAGCTGTGGGAACAGTTACCAATCAAGTCACCCCATCCCAACTCCTTTCTTTCAAGCTGCTGTAGTTGGGCTGGTTAACAAAAGTTGGGCCAGCCAAAACTTCCTCCTCTTCCTCCTGCTGGAGCGCTGGTCTGAAATATCCTGGGAAGGGTACTAAATTCCTCTGGCCCCTGCCAAGGCCACAAGCTGCCTCCTGAAATGCTCCAAAATCAAAAGGAAGAAATTCCACACAACACAAAAATTAGAAATAGTATTTATTACTTCCTGTTAAAATAGGGTGCTCTTGTGAGAATGTGCAAAAAAAGAGCCTTCCTACACCCTGGGCTTTCTCACTTAGGCTGGGACTGTTGATTCAACTCTCCTCTCAGTGTAGGAGGGAAAACTCTCTAGCTACTCCTGGGAATTTGGGCTGCACTAGCTTTAATTATGATGATTTGCATGCATTAAAAAATACCCAGCCTGACTATTAACAGGCAATCTGCCCCTGTGCTCAGTCCACCTGGCAAGACAGATGTGAATATGAAGTCTACAGCCCCATGCACAGGTCAGGACTAGGTGGCACCCTGGAAATTGGTGGATGTTCCTGGTTAGAGATCAAAGAAGATTCTAGTTCCTGGCCAATTGGTTGAAAACATGCATAGCGTTTTCAGTGAGGGACTGAGAATGAGGAGTATTTTGGGTGTAGTAGGGCTAGCAATCAATTGGCAGCACTCTGGCCACAGGTGGAATTTGGTTAGAAGCTACTTATTCCATCTTCTAATTCTCTTAAGATCCCTTGTCAACAAGAGTGAATTCAGGTTTTAAAATGGCACACCAAGTTATACAAGATGTCATTAAGGCAACGGTCTCATCAAGTCCACAGAGCTCTGATCCCACCATCCCCTATCCCTCACCCAGCAGGACGGTTTAGTCCTGCCCACTGCTTCTTCTTGATAACAGCTTCAAGCATCCAAAAGCTTCACACAGCCTTCAGCCTCATAAGTTGGGGGCGGCCCAATTAAGAAACTTCATGGCAACTTCAAAGCCGAGGAAGCAGGCCTGCAAAGGGGTTGAAAGGAAGAGTTAAGCCAGCAGATGTGACTACAGAGACCCCAGCAAGGACCAGAATCCCTCCAGAACCTCACTTCCACCCCAGATCAGGGAATCAAACAGGATTTTCTCATTTCTAAGAGAAAAAGAAAATGCATGTCCCACAAATGTCCACTTAGGACATGGTCAGATCTGGAAATCAAAGCCCCACGCCTCAGAGAACCCCAAGATCAGATCATCTTAACAGCTTTAAGAATGGGAGCAAACAAGGAGGCTGTCGATGAGGATGGAATCCGGGAAAACTGTGTCCCCACTCCAATCCAAGCAGCAGGAGAAAGTCAGTCTACCTATACTCATGCTCTGAGCCCCGAAAGGAACACACAGTCCCTGCCAGCCACTTACCGCATTGGCCGGGAAGGCTCGGATCATCACAGCATTGAACCCCTTGTACAAGGACGTGATTCCTTCATCCCGGATCAGTTCCCTCAGCACATCTCTGAAACCATTAGGATATTTCCCAGGAGGTGCTGTAGATAGAACCCAACTTTTAAGGCTTCAAGCAGTTACCTAATCTCACCATGAAGACCCAAACAGGGACTATCCAAGTCTCCCTACAAGGTTACAGCATCAGGTAGAGGACACCCTGCAAGACATCTAAGAGGTCCAGGTCACAGACACCAAAGTTTACCTTGGTGCAGATACAAGTGCCTGAATTAATCTCTCTGCTCATGTGGTGGAAGGAAAATGAATTTGACTTCTATCCATTTACTTTGTATTTAGGCCAAAATGAAAATGAGTGTAGTGTTCCTAGAACACAAATGACTGTGAGGGAGAGTGCTGACCAGACAAATGCTGAGGGCTGCCACAGAAACTGAGTAAGCTGAGAGCCTTAAGAGCTCTCTACCCCATGAGCAACCAGTTCAGGAACTATTCCAGCTCCACCCCTATTCCCCATACAACCCCGTCCACTTACCAGTCTGGAAGCGGGACTTGAGCACATCAGGGGGAATAGCCACAGCCCAGTTGAAGATTCCTGCAATGCCCCCAGCTACGAGGATTCGAGGCACACTGAGCTCACTGACACTGCAGAATACCAACCACAGTCCCAGTCAGACAAAGGCTGTAAGAGAGGCATCAGACCATCCCTCCTGTGGCAGACAGCGCAGTTACAGAGATGGAGAAACTGGCTGGAGGGAGGAGATCCAAGGTCAGAGATCCTGTGACATGGCGGCTGCCACTCCTTGTTTCAAATACTTGCTTGTTTCAAGTACGTGCTTCATTGGGTGAGGCACAGAGTAAGCATATTAGCTGGACCTCAGTAGCATCGAAAGAAGTCTATATGGAGCCAGAAGCAAGTCCCATTCTGCCTTCAGACCCACTCACAGGAAAAGGCAACCTACCCATGACTGGGCCAAGAGATTTCTAAGTTCTTCTGTTCTCCTCACCTCTTTCCTTCTGGAGTGAAGATATTTTTCAACCATTCATATGTCATGAAATACATCCCACTGGCTGGAACATCTGTGAGTGGCAAGAAAGAGGCAAATTAAATGAAGTAGATTATTATAGACTATGTGAAGTTCAGATTTCATGAATATAGGAGAGTTAAACTTGGCACTGGACCCTTCAAGGTATCCCAACCAGTTCCTTAGCAGTGTACTTCCTATTTTCAATAATTATCTTGTATAGATCAGCTGCTGCTCGGGACCTCACTGGTGTAAGTGAGAGGAAACATATATATAATTTCATCTTCAAAGTTCCCTAAATGACTCCCCACTGACTTACCCATTACAAGGAGCCATAACCACAGCTAGCATCTGACTTGCTTATAAGTACATTTCAGAATAAGGCAGGGCCTATCTTCCCTTTCCTGAAACCCCCTCTGCAGAACATGTCTCTTAAAACAAGGACAAGACTCATTGTTCCTAAGTCACTGCTTCTTCTCACTCATCCCTTCAGCCACATTTATTTGCCACTCACCTCCAACTGCTACTGTCACGATTCCACCCCTGAGGATCAGCCTCACAGAAGTATGGAAGACCCCTTCACCTTCATTTGTGTCCACACTGGCCAGAGCTGAGACTGCCTAAAACTGGACACACAATGCCAACCTGGACAGAGCTGTGGCCTACATGTACTGTGCCAAGGATAGTCTGACTTTTCAGGCCCTCTCTATCTCTGTAAGGTTATTTGTGACACATACATCCCAGGTCCCAACATGACCTCAGGTAGAGGGCCTCAAAGCTTACCTCGCATAAGAGTGAGTACAGTTCCTTTGTAGATGCCTCGGATTCCAGACTCCTGATATAGCTTTTTTGCACAATCCATGGTACCAGTATACTTGATTTCCCCTGAAGAAGCCTGAATCTGAGAAAGAGAAGAGGGTCATCCAGTTGGCAACAGCAATTTCAAAGTCAAAGACTCAGCAGGTTACAAAAGGTTATGAAGTGATACAATGCATTATACATCAAAGTAAGTATTTAGAAAGTACAATATTGGTATAAATTGCTATGAAGTGGGTCTTGGGCCTAACAGCCAAGAGTCTGAGGACAGCCAGGGGAATCCCAAATAATATAAAAGGACTACCAGAAAAAGAAATCCCATTCAAGAGAGCAATAAAATAGTGTGCATCAAGAAAATTATATAAGTAGGGCCCTGCCTGGTGGCTCAACGGATTAGGACACAGCACTGCAAGATAGGCATAGCCGCTCTAGTGCAAGTTCGATCCCTGGAGACCCACATGGTGCAGCGACCTCTCCTGTCTAGCCCTCTGTTCCCCTCAATAGTGTGTTTCAGTACATCTGCCTGTTCTGCACCCCACAGTGCCTCTGGTAGATCCTCTTACCACCACCACCACCACCTCTGGCCTGTATCCCAGTTCTTGTAGGCATAAATAAATAAATCTTTAAAAAAAATAAATTTGAGAATCATGAGTATACAGATTCTAAAAGTCATGAGACCAAAAAAAATCAAAGAAATGAATATAATAGGATTAAGATCTGTATATGTGAACATTAAAAGAATGAGAAAATGATGAGACATCAACAACAGACAGAGAAGGAGCAAGTAAGTAGAAGGAAAATCAGGTAAGAAGCCAGGTGAATATTGCATTTCAAGGAAGAAAAGGGATCAGTTGAGCCAAGCTGAATTAATGGATCAAGAAAAACTGAGGACCAAGAACTGAATAATGACTTAATGTAAAGCTTACTGGTGACCTTGACAAAAGCACTTTTGTTGGGGTTGTAAGGTAAATGACAGATTAAAGTGGGTTTAACAATTAGAAAAGGGGAACTAGAGACAGGAAGTAGGAAAAAAAACCTTTTTTTAAGGAGTTTCGATATAAAAGGGAGCAAAGATACGAAATATAGAAATTGATACAGGAAAAATAGAGAAGCATTTCTTTTTAAGGTTAAAAATACAAGCATTGGGCCCTCTCTGGTGGTGCAGCAGGTTAAAGCACAGCACTAAGAAGCTAAAGCCACTTCAGCATGAGTTCGATCACCCGGAAGTGACCACATGGCGCAGCAGACTTCTTCTGACCAGCCCACTGCTCCCCTCTGCAGCATACCTCCACGATCTGCCTGTTCTGCTCCCCACTGTCTCTGGTGAATTCTCTCATGGCCCCGGCACCTCTGGCCTGTACCCCAGTTCTGTATGCATAAATACAAAAATCTTTAAAAAAGAAAAAGCATTTTATGCTTTTACTACTGATGCAAACAATTTAGTGGAGAGTAAAAACTGAGACTAAAGGAGAGAAAAAGAAGAGTTTTTGATGTGACATCTGGGGTGAAAGGGTGGGATCCACCAGACAAACAGGGGAGAAGTGGTCAAGAAGAAGCATGGGCCATCTGAGTGGAAACACGCTAAGCAGCTGTGGAGGTAGCAGCAGGTGCCAGTGGGTGAGCAGACGCGGAGGCATCTGATGAAGTCCTCATCTGAAGGTTTCTGTTTTCTCAGTGTAGGAGGACACCCGATCATCCACTAAGAGGGTAGGAGTTGGAGAAGAGGGGAGAGGTACATAGTGGTAGTCAGCTAGCACAGTAGAGGAGTATGAGACAACAGTGCAGACGGAATCTCATCTAGAAGCAGAGAAGGACTCCTGGTGTAAAGTAAACAGAAAAAGCCATGAGGGAAAAGATTGATAAACAAACCTACTGAAAACAAACATTACTTTAGTCAAAATTAATAAATGGATTTCTGCTTCCAGGAAGTACCTTATCTTATTCTTCCTGTTAAGTGTAACCAAAAACCCTAGACATTATTTTAAAAGCAAACATGCGAAGACTCTTAAGTTTGGACAGAAGATGGCAGCCCAGGACTTGAGGGAAGACCTGGTGATTTCCTATTTGCTTATTTCAGACTTGAAGCTGAACAAACTGGAAACTCAGGAATACCAACAAGCACAGAACAAAAACGTTCTACTAAAAGTTTGCATTTCTGTAAACAAAGGACCAGGAAAGGGATAGACTAGAAAGACAGAAAATCTTTAGAAAATACTCTAGACCAGCCAAGGCCACCCACCCACCCACACACAAAAACCAGCAACAACAACAAAAAGTGTGGGCTCACCCTTTTACCTTTGTAAGTCTGTAATAAGGCACCCATATGGGGTTAGAGTGAAGTGAAGGAAGGTCAAGTAGGACTTCTGTCTCTGCTGGCTGGTAGCCAGTACCCTCCTGTCCTGTGGTGTCATGGAGCCACTGAAACTCCCACACTGACCCAGTACGAAGTAGCCCATATTTAGGTATTAACAGAGGCCCAGTGGGGAACTAGACTTCTACTTCTACTTCTACTGATGCAGTGGTATTATTATCATTTAAAACAGAAAGTTTAAATAAGATCCAGAATATCAACATAATATGCAAATATCCAAATTTCCATGGGAAATCATTTATCATACCCCAAATCTGGAAGATCTCACATTGAAAGAAAAAGAATAGATGCTAACATCAATATGACAAAGACAAAAGATTTATCTGATAAATATCTTAAAACAGACAAAAATATCTCAAGGGGCAATTATGAATGTGCGTGAAACAAATGAAAAGAGCAGAGAGCCATAGCGAAGACATAAAGTCTCAACATAGAAACAGAAGATAGTAGAGAACCAAATGGAAATTTAAGAGTTGAAAAATACAATCAAATAAAAAACCCAATGGATGGCTCACTCAACAGCAAAATAGGAGGGAAAATAATGTTGTTCTTTCTGAACAACAGAAAGAAAACAGACTGAACTGAGCATAACAGAATGCTATGGGCTCACAACAAAAAATCTGATATTTATGTTCTCAGAGTCCCAGAAAGGAGAAAACGTGGAACTGAAAAAAAGAAACTAAAGAAATAATTGTTGAAATGCCCCAAATTTGACAAAATATAAACATACAGATTCAAGAAGTTTAATGAATAATAAGCAGTATAAACCAAAATAAATCCACACCAAGATATATCCCAAGAACTTCTGAAAACTAAAGACAAAGAAAAACATCTTAAGAGCAACCAGAAAAAAGTCCTATTTTATTTATAGCACAAAGCAATTAGAATAACAGCAGAATCCAGGGAAGGTAGAACAAAGTAGCATAGTATCTTTAAGGTTCGGAAAGCAAAGAAACCCTGTTCTCAGTAAAAATATTCCTTCAAATAAAGAGGAAGTCGGCTTCAAGATGAAGGAAAACAAAGAGAATCTGTCACTATTAACATAACTAAAATTAAAAGAAAAAAATGACTAAAAAAAGCTCTTAAGCAAAAAAGGAAACAAAAAATAAATAAAAACTGAGAACAATAAAAGATAAATATGAGGAAGGCAAGAACAACACAGTAAACAAAAGTTGGGATATTATATAGTGATAATATGAAGTACATTATATTGTGACTAAAGGGTTAATTCACCAATAAGACACAGCAACCTTACATATGTGTGCACTAAAGAAGCTACAAATTATGTGAAGCAAAACTGACAGAAAAGGAGGAACTCACAATTATAACTGGAAATTTTAAGTCCTTCTATCCACAGTTGGTAGAAAACAACTAGACAGAAAATCAGTAAGGCTGGAATAACTCACCAACACCATCATCCAACAGGAACTGATTGTTTTATAGAATTCTACCAGATGACAGCATAATACACATTCTTTTCAAGTGACCATGGAACATAGACCAAGACAGCCCATCTCCAGGGCCATCAAATTAACATTAAGAATTGAAAGAATTTAACTTATACAGATGATGTTTTCTGATTACAATGGAATCAAGTAGAAGACAATTATCTCCAATAACTAGAAAGTAAACAAAATCCTTCTAAGTAATCTGTGGGTCAGAAAGGAAATTAGAAAACATGCTGAACTGACTGAAAAATGAAAATACCATATATTGAAATGCAATATTGAAGTTCTTGTACAACAAAGCAAAGCAATGCTGAGAGGAAAGTTGATAATTAACCTCATTGACAATTTACAGCATGAAAAAGTAAAATGATACACATTTATCACCTATCAAACTGGCAAACTGGTTATAATTAGCTGTGGTAGAGTCTGCTGCATTGACAGGAATAGAAAGCAACAGGCCTTTATAGAAGGGCCATTGAGTAATGTGTGTTAAAAACCTTAAAATATACATACCTTTACACATTCTAATTCTGAATCTAGACACTAGTCCTAAGAAAATAATGAGGTGTATGTGTAAAAACTTTCAACAAAGATATCTGCAGTGGTACGTCATGAAAAAAGAATTAATAATGAAAAAGGACATAGAAAGTGATGCTCAAGGAAAAAAGCACACAGTAAAATGATACAAGTGAAAAAGAATGGAGCATATTACCCCAATTCTATTTCAAAGAAGAACATGTCTTAATACATATGCCTACCAAAAACTAGAGGAATTCACACAGAAACTTAACAATGGTTAACTCAAAGAGGTGTTATGAGTAATAAATACTATTTTTTCCCTTTGTGAACCTCTGCAGTATCAAAATTTTCTAGCAAGAGTTGTATATTAAATTAGTTCCCCCACAGAAGGAAAAACATAGTAACATTTCTTTTTCAAAAGGATCCCTATGTGGTAAGGAGCCTGTGTTCTGCTGGAGAGCAAGTCAGGCACTCTAAAAGCACTGAGGTTTTGGGCAGTTGGTAGGGACAAAGGATACGGTGGCAGGAAGAACCTCCCTTCCACCTCTGACAAGACATGACTTAACCTTTCAGAGTTGCTGAAGTCGCTGCTAGTAAGGGTGGATAAGCCTGGGCTGACATGTCTTAGGTGTGTCATTTTGGTTTGTTTGTTACACTTCCCTGATTCTGGATTCTACTGTGATTGATTGCTTCCAAGCTCCTGGAAACCTTGGAACTGTTTTGCACACCTTATCTGATGTCTTTATGAAGGGTGAAAGGACATAAACATCCACACAAAATTGTGTGTTTAATGGGAAAAGCTATTGACCTGCCACCACATCACAGCCCCCTTCCCCAGATCAAACTTACCTGTAACAAGCACTTGATCCGTTCTCCAGGGGTCATGATTCCTGTAGTAAAAACTCCAGATAGCATCCCAGCTGCAAACAGTTGGGGGTAGCTGTGTTGGAAACAAAAGCCAGAGGTGAGTTCATGTGACTAACCACCCACAGTAAAGTAAATACCAGCAAAGAGGGTAACTTTGTAAGAAGAAATAAGTACTTGGACTGGGTATGCTCCTTTCCTATCCCCAAATACCACTGCAGTGAGGCGAACGTGGCAGGGCTGACATTCAGGATTCAGAACACAGTAGGATTGTGGGAGTGGGGTGCTGATGGCATAATCTTTGCTCTAGCAGAAAGGTACAGCTGTGAGCTGGCACAGGAGCTAAAAGACGAGGGACTCAGAGAGGACGGGTGCCAGGTCATTTGAAATACCAATAGTCAAACACAGCTTCAAAAGAAACCCTCACATACCCACATTTGGGGCCACCTGTGACTGCAGAAGCTGGGCACATTCACAACTCCCCTTCTACTTTACCATCACCTCTAGCTCTAGACTCTTCTCAGCCGAAAGTAAAGGCATAAACAATCCTGTGGTGTCCTGGGCTTCGTCACTCAAGTTCCAAGTCTGGCTGGGTCCTGCGCTGTGGGCAGTCATTCCTCGAGTTGTCAGCTAGACAACTCACACTGAGGGCACCGAGTCATCCCAGAGCCCTTCAGAGTACCCCCATTCCAAGGGGTCCATGTGCATTAGCTATTTTGTAAATTCTTGGTTTTAATTCTAACTCATCTGCTTCTTTATACTGAAATCTAACTTCTTAAAGCTTATTAAAAGGAAATATGATGCTAATAATGTATTTCATTTAAAAAGAGAAACCAGTATCTGAAATAATTATTAATTATATAGTAAAAATGAAGTGAAACAAAAGTTGCAACCTTTTCTGGTCCGAACCAGATGATGGAAAACAAAATTGTGGCTGTCACTGCTGGAGTACCAGGTGCTGCTCATGGCCTTTTGCACACATCTTAGCATTCTGATCTCCCAACAGCCCTGTGGGGTTTGATGTTTCTAATGTTCACAGTAAGCGATACTGCTTCACAGAAAAAATTATAATAATTGTAAGGGTTCCCTCCCCTTTTTAACAACCAAAATAGTACGTTTATTATTAAGAAATAATAATTTTTTAAAAAAAGGAAAGAAAAGGACACTGGCACAGTTACAAGTAGGAAAAAGAGTTTAGTTTTTCCTTTTTGGTTCCACGGGCAAAGGAAACTCAAGTACCTGCCCCACACAGAGCTCCCAGGAGCCATTCCGGTTCTTTCCTTTATTTCATGTCAAACCACTGGGCAGAACAGCATCAAGTTCTTCAGGTCTTAAAGTACTTACCTGAGTACATCCTCTGGGGATTTCTGTTGCAATTTCTTCCCCAAACCAAACCCAAAGAAGCACACAGCAAACATGGGGGTGACCCCGATGATGGGAGCAGCCATGCCCCGGTATAGTCCTGTGATGCCCTGCAAAGAACCACAGGGGTAGAAGTTGGTTACACATACTGCCACCTTTCACACTGCTGAAAGAGGAAGCAAGTTGATCTAACATGTGGCTTCTTTCTCTCACCTCTCCTTCAAACAAAGAGAAGTTTTAAAAGGAAGAACATCTTTACATTTATCAGAATAGTTGTCCTCTTCTACAATGCTGGAAAAATTGAAAATAGCTTCCATTCTACAAGGCAATCTGACAGTAGCACACCCTGTCAGCAGAAAATTTCTGCCCAGAAGTATATTCCAAGGAAATACTCAGATGTGTGTGTGTGTGTGTATATAGACACAGAAACAGACATATGTGTAAGTACATACATACACACACACATATATAAAATGATACCAGGCATTTATAAGATACCAACATTTTGTATAAAGGTTTATTTTTATTTATACATACAACATAAACCAGGGTGTAAGCAGATTTACCAGAAACAAATTGGGGAGCAAAACAGGCAGATCTACTGAAACACACTGCTGAGAGGAGCAGCAGGTGAGGCAGGAGAGGTCTGCTGCACCATGTGGGTTCAGCTCCCTGGCTGGGGATTGAATTTATGCTGCAGTGGCTAGTGATAGCATAATAGCTGAGACTTTAATACCAGTGCCACCAGGGAGGGTGAAAGTACCAACATTTTGGAATGAATGTCCTTAAAAGTTCCCAAATAGGCAGTTCTTCAGACCACCTGTGACTATGCAGGTGTTTCTTTTTCCTTTGCAAAACAGCAGTCGGAGCTCTCCTGCCCACCTATCCCTATTCAGGTACTTCTTTTTCTTTCTCCTTTTCCTAATAAACCTGTCCTTTTAAAATGTTTTTGAAAAAGTTCCCAAATAGGAGATCAATGAGACAAATCACTGAAATTCCATGAGTGGACTATCACGCAACCATAAAATCACATTGTAACATGAAAACAGACTCCTAAGTGGGAGGGGGGGAGTCTACAAACAAAATATACAGTGATCTCTCTTGGGGTGAGATTACAGGTGATTAAGAAATTTCCCAAAGGATTTTTTAATTGTTAAAAACAGTGCTAAGACTTCAACCAACATCATTTGGTAATGAAAGCCAAAATATAGACTGATAAACATATATATTTCAATCAAATAATGTTAATAAGCCAGATGTTCTTTCCAGAACCAAAAGGGCACAACTATACATGGCAACAACTCAGAATCTGCAAAGGTCTAATAATGCCATAGGCTACAAGCAGACTCTGGTAACAAAGGAGAGGCGCTAGACAAGAAAGGTGAGTGAGAAAGACGGTTCAGAGGTTGATGTACAAAACAACACAGAACCAAGCTCTTCCAAAACTTCCCACAGCTCCTCACCTGGGCTTAGATGGATGCCTAGATCCTGGGGGGCAAGGAGCAAGCCCACATCTCTCAGCACCTCCTCTATCCTTCCTTTCACTATTTTTGCCCACCTAGTTACACAACCTGGACTTCTGTCTGGCAAATCCAGAAAGCAGAGAGCTCTGCCTGGTTCAGCAAAAACCATGGACACATTCAAATAGGAACTTAAGGAGGCCTATTTTATTCTGCAAGGAGTTGGGTTTATACATGCCATTCTCATGAGGCCTCCTAGCACCCAGCACACTGTCCAGCTGTCAAGCAGGTGCTCATAATGTTTGCTGACCAAGAGGTATGTAAACCTACTTTTCTTCCACAAGAGCAAAGGACTCTGAATAGACCTGTGGTCTCTCTGAAACACTGGTCAGATGCCACCCGGGGAAGCACAGATGAAAGGAGCACCTTACAGAAGAAAAGGCAGCACCACCTCATACTTGGTGGTTGGGTGGGCCTTTCTCCCCAAATCTTGCTTCCACATCTGGGTCCTGCGGAAACCCTGGGACTAACTTCTCCCCTACCACTGAACTCATTACTTACCAGCATCCCTTCTTTATCTGGGTGATACCTGCTTCTCAGTTTCTGTATATTTAATAAAGATTATCTAACAATAGAGTATTCATGAGAGTTTATTTTAGGAAGCAAAGGAACAGTTGTCAAGAAGGCCTTTTCACACATATGCTAAAGAAGTGAGTAAGCACTAATAACTCAAACTTTTTAAAATCCCATGTTTTCAGTCAAAGAACTATCTTAAAAAAAGTATTATGTAATGGGCCCTCCCTGATGGCACAACAGGTTAAAATGCAGCACTATGAGGCTCTTCACAGCTACTGGGCACACATTTAATCTCCAGCTGGGGAGCTGACCCACATGACAGCAGACCTCTCCTGACCCACCCACTGCTCTCCTCAGTGGTGTATTTCAGTCAATCTGTCTGTCCTGCTCCTTACTCTGTCTCTGGTGAAGCCTCTCACCCCCTACACCTCTGGCCTACACCTCAGCTCTTGTATGCATAAACAAATAAATCTTTAAAAAACAAAACAAAAGTATTATGTAATCATCCAATAACTTGAAACCAACTTGGTGTCCTTGCCTGGGATCTGGAGACTCCGCTGGCCTTTCTCATTGTTCTGGATGACTTTTCCTCTAGACTTTACATAAATTTCTGACACTGATCCCTGTAGAACTGATTGAATCAGATTTGCATTTTCTTCCATTTCATTCTAATTAATTCTCACTTAGTCCTTGGGCTCTAATTTCTGTCTCTCAAAAGAGAGAACTATTTTATTAGCGTCCATCATCCAGATAAAATGGTAGCCAGAACTATCAGACTCTGGAGCAGGCAATGACATAAGGGTATAGGAGAGCACAGTGAGAGCAGCAGAACAATACTTCACCCTAACCCCCAGGGAGTAAACAACCAACTCTGTGAAAATGTCCTTTCAGTAAGAGTAATGCTGAGTACCAAGATACCATACCTCTCTAACAAGAGTCTTCCGGAAACAGTCAATGGTCCCAGAATACATGGGAGGCTGTCCAGGTGAACTTGGGGGCTGTGTCTGCAGTCGGACCTGAAACCATAAGTTAAAATACAATCATTTTCAAGAATTGGATGCCTGCGGGTCAGATGCTATGATTCACCTGTCAAAGCCTAAAATAATCTGTACCTGTGTATATGTCTTCAGCATTCATGTAATCAGCTAGATTCAGACTTCTCGTCCCTCAAACTCATTTCAACTCTTTACTCACAAGGTAGTAGTATTATGCTTTCAGAGAGAATAACAGTTCCTCTGATTTTCTCATCTGCTCACTTTCATTAGTGAAATATTTATTTACTTATGCATACAGAACTGGGGTACAGGCCAGAAGTGCAGGAGTGGTGAGAGGATTCACCAGAGGCACAGTGGGGAACAGAACAGGTAAATGGATAAAGTACACCACTGAAGAGAGCAGCGGGTGGGTCAGGAGAGGTCTGCCGCACCGTGTGGGTCACCTCTCTGGCTGGGGATCAGGCCTGTGGTGAAGCCTCTGCAGTGAGCTTCACGGTGCTGTGCTTTAACCCATTGCGCCACCAGGGAGGGCCCCCGGATTAGATGCGTCTTACCTAATGGATCTCATAATGACTCAACAGGATAGGTATTCCCTGTTTACAAATGAGGAAACTTGAGTCCAATGAATTAAGGTGATTTGCCAGTAATCAGACCTCGCTGATACATATGCAGTGCAATGTAAATGGGTTGAGAAGATTCTCAAAAGAGTCATTTTGGAGTGAGGTGGATTCAATCCTACTTTTCTTGGTCCTCACCCTTATCTAATACTTCAAAACTGTGTTTCTCTTTAAGTTTCTATTCTTAGTACTCCCTTCTGTTTCCTTTATTATTTCAGGCATTCCCCAAGGCTTAAACTATAGTCATCTGGTCCACTATTACTTTCACAAAACTCAAATTCCAGGGCTTGAATCAAAACTCAAATTCCAGGGCTTGAATCTATGCTGGGGGATGATAATTATTCAGCCATCTCCACATCTTCTCTCCTGACCTTTAGTTTCCAAATTCCTGGAGAAGCAAGCCCTACACAAGTCTCCTATTTGCTTCAAATCACCTCCAGAATCTCACCTTCCTAATGTCCAGTTTATGCCCCTGGATATCTTTTTTAAGATTTGAAACCTGAGCTCCACCTGACTACTTCCTGTTGCTCTTCCTGCTCATAAGAACCATGTCTATTGAAATGGACCTTCAAGATGTCTCCAAAATTAAATTTCTTCTTCTCTGAGTCTTCTCCTAGACCACATCCCCACCTAACCTATTCAGTATGTTGGGTTTTGTTTACGTTCGCTAATTATTTGATATTCTTCCCCTTCAAAAGGTGAATTCTAACTTCCCTCCCTTGAATGTTGGTCACATTCAGAGACTCAACTTCTAGTGAATAAGAATACCATCTAATGACGCTACAAGACTGCTATCACTAGGCAATTAAGATAGACAGTTTCTGCCTATCTATCTCAGGTTATTTATTCTGTGGAAGTCAGTCACATTGTCATAAGGCCACTCAGCAGCCCAGAGAGACCATGTGCAGAGGAAAGGCCTTTGACAACAATCAGCACCAGCCTGCAGTATGTGAATGTACAAGGAAGCCAATCTGTGTCCCCAATATTTTTGGAGGGGACACAGGGGGCATGGTAAGTAATTCAGTACTATTTTTTGAAGACAGCTTTATTAAGATATAATTCATGTACCACAAAAATGACCCATTTAATGTGTACCTATACAAAAAAGTGCACAGTTCAATGGATTTAATATATTAAGTTTGCAAACTTCCTGACAGTCAGTTTTACCATATTTTCACCACTCCAAAAAACCTACCAGTTGTTTCTTTTTAAGAATTATTTTATTTACTTTTGCATACAAGAACTGGGGTGTAGACCAGAGGTGCAGAGGGTGAGAGGATTCACCAGAGTGGGGAGCAGAAAAGGCAGATCTATTAAATACACTACTGAGGGGAGCAGTGGGTAAGACAGGAGAGGTCTGCTGTGCAATATAGGTTAGCTCCCTGGCCAGGGATCAGGGATTGAACTCATGCTGCAGTGGCTGGCGATAGTGCTGAGACTTTAACCCTTATGCCACCAGGGATACCCTCTCTCAATACATTTCAATCCCTGGCAATCATTCATCTACACTGTCTCTATGAATTTGCCAGTTCTTTCACACTTGTCTTCTTTTACTTAGCATGCTCTCAAAGTTCATCCATGTTGTAACACAGGTCAGTTTTCATTCCTTCTCATTAGTAATATTCTATGTTCACTCTGGTAGCACATACACTAAAACTAAAAATGACACAGAAAATTAGCATGGCCCCTCTGCAAAATTTATTTGCATTTCTATATTTTCTCTTTTTTAAAATTTTATTTATTTATGCATACCGAACTGGGGTACAGGCCAGAGATGCAGGAGCAATGAGAGGATTCACCAGAGGCAAAATGGCGAGCAGAACAGGCAGATGGACAAAGTACATTGCTGAGGGGAGCAGCGGGTGGGTCAGGAGACCCACCCGTCTGCTATGCCACCTCACTGGCCTGGCTGGGATCCAACCTGTGCTGAAGCAGTGGCGACAAGCTTCACAGAGCTGTGCTTTAACCTGTTGCGCCAACAGGGAGAGCCCTCATTTCTCTATTTTCAATGTTATGGTGCATGATAAAACTGGACTTTTAGTGGAAAGTTTAACATATATTCATATATAGATTTTCAATGATGAACATCTGAAATTTAAATAATGTTTTAATGCAATGTTACTTTACTTTCTTAAATGTGAAAAATATATACTAATAATTTTAATATAGTAAAATAATATTCCTCTGTATAAATATGCCATATTTTCTTTCTTGTGTTCATTAGATAAAGGACATCTGTACTTTTCCACAATTTGGTTATTATGAATAATATTGCTATGAATATTTGTATAGGTTTTTATGTAGCTAACCCAAGTTACCTGGGTATTGTATAGGTTAGCAATATGGATATACATTCATACACATACAAATATATAGTATACACTTAACACAGAAACACAACATTTATGACAAAGATATTTATCATAAGAAATTGGCTCACTGATTACAGAGATGAGCAAATTCTAAAATTTGCAAATCCCAAATCAGTAAATTAGAGACCCAGGAAAGCCAACAGAATAGTTTTTGTACAAATCTGAAGACCTGAGAACAAGGAGGAGAGCTAATGGTGTAAATTACAGCTCAAACATCAGGAGGTTTGAGACTGAAGAAGAGTCAATGTTTCAGGAAGGGTTGTCAGTTTGAACATGAAGGCAGAAAGAAATCAGTACGGCAGCTCAATCTCCAGGCAGGAGTTGACCCTACTTACTGGAGTGTCTATCTTTTGTTCTGTTCAGATATTCAACTGTTTTCATGAAGGCCACTGGCTTTAGGGAGGGCAATCTGCTTAACTCAGTCCATTTTCAAGTTTTAATCTCATCCAAAAACACTCTAATAGAAACAGCAAAAAAATGTTCCCATGGTTCAGTCAAATTGAATATAAAATTAATCATCAGCTATATACCTAGCAGAGCTGTTATATCATGTGTTAACTCTATGTTTAGTCTTTTGAGGTACAGTCAGACTATCAAAACAGGATGTACCATTTTATAGACCCACCAGAAGTGTATGAGGATTTCAATTTCTCCACATCCTTGTCAACACTTTTTTATCATCTGGTATAGGTGGTATCCTATGATTTTTCATTTGCATTTCTATAATAGGTGATGATGTTGAAACTTTTTAAAATGTGCTTATTGGCCTTTTGGTTTGGTTTAAAGATTTACTTATTTATGCATACAAGAAACTAGGGTTCAGGTCAGAGGTGCAGGGAGTAAGAAGATTCACCAGAGACAGACTGGGGAACAAAACAAGCAGAGTGACTGAACTGCACTGCTGAGGGGAACAGTGGGCAAGACAGGAAAGGTCTGCTGCTCCATTTGGGTCAGCTCCCTGGTAGGGGATCAAACTGGTGCTGCAATGGCAGTAGAGCTTCACAGTGCTGAGACTTAACCCTCTGTGCCACCAGGGAGGCCTTTATTGACATTTGTATATCTTCTTTGAAAAATGTCTTTTCAAGTTCTTTGGCCACTTTTCCCCCCTTAGTTCTTTTATTTTCTCTTTGTCTATTTTTTACTAGGGGTTATTCATCTTTTTATTATCAAATTCTGAGAATTCTATATATAGTCTGGATACCAGCCAATGCCTGCAGCCTCACAAGAAATACTGAGCCAGACTACCCACCTAAGTGGCTCCTAAAATCATACTTCATAAAGACTGTGAAAGTTAATGGATATTGTTGTTTTAGGTCACTAAGGTTTGGGGGTAGGTTGTTACAGTGCAACAGATAACTGATATACAGTTATTTTTCCTGCTGTGTTTTAGTCCTCATGCAAATTCTTCTCATGTTGCTATCATACTAACCTTTCCAAAACAGTATTTCACCATGCTGTCCCTCTATTTCTTAACAATCTCTCATTCTTGTATTTGTTTTTTTTTAAAGATTTATTTATTCATGCATACAGGAACTGGGGTATAGGTCAGAGGTGTGGGGGGGGGCGTGTTGAGATGATTTACCAGAGACAGAGTGGGGAGCAGAACAGGTTGGATAGACTGAAACGCATTGCTGAGGGGAGCAACAGGCGGGTCAGGAGACGTCTGCTGTGCCATTCAGATCACTTCCCTGGCCAGGATCCAACTTGTGCTGCAAATAGCTTCAAAATGCTGCGCTTTAACCCCTTGCACCACCAGAGAGGGCTGGCATTCTTGTATGTGTTAGGGTCTTACATGCCACACTAAGGAAATCACTCTCTAGGCAATATATGTTATATACAACTGTGAGGACATCACTAAGTTGGTCCCTACTCCTTTATATCCAAATCCTTCATGGTCTGGCACAATTTCCCTTAGTCAGAAGGGAAAAGAAATGGATCAAAGCTTCTGAAAAAGCTATACCTGCCCTCCTAGAGTCCAGAATGAGTCTAAGCCTCCTTATTCCTCCAGCTAGGACTCAGCCTTCCCTCCAGTCTCTCACTGAGTCCTTGCAAGCTCCAGCAATCAAGTACTATAGCGCTTGCCTTCTCAAGCCACAGCTCAGTCACACTGGAACTCTGAAGTACCTCTAGAAACCCACCTGACTCTGAGGAATGATTTGTGTTTTGATTTAAGCTAAAAAGAGTCTTTCTGACTGCGGAAAATGACAATGAGAATGTATACTTCGGTATAGAAGTCATTAGTCCCTTCCTAGGAGTGACCAATGATGGGGAAGAGCAAGAAGATAAAGAGATAGACACAACATTTGTATGAGGCTGAAAATAATAAGAGTTTTGTTTACTTTAAAGAGAGGACCCAGATATCTGGAACTAACAAGATCTCTGCCAACATGAATGAAGAGTAGGAGTAGATGTCAGACAATTCTTCTTTACCAGTCAGTGCTGCTTAGAATAACCATTTTGTGGGCCCTGCCTGGTGTCACAAGGGGTTAAAGCACAGCACTATAAAGCTATGGGCAGCCACTGAAGTTCCAAGCCAGGGGGGTGATCCACATGGCACAGCAGACCTCTCCTGTCTTGCCCATTGCTCCCCTCAGCAGTGTATTTCAGTCAATCTGCCTGTCCTGCTCCCCACTCTGTCTCTGGTGAATCCTCACACTCTCCCCCCCACACCTCTGTCCTGTACCCCAGTTCTTATAGGCATAAATTAAAAAAAAAAAATCTTAAGAAAAAAAAAGAAAAAGAACAACCACTGTCTGGGAAATACAAACATCTTGTTTCATGTTTCACTGTGCCCCTAACTAGTCCGGTTGGTTTAATCCTTTTCTTGCTGTATAATGACTGTACCTCCTTTTCTACATGAAAGGGGAGCAAACAGTCTGCTGTCCAAACCTGCTAAGTGTAAATGCTCTCAAAGCTATCTTCCCATGTAGAAAGTCCAACTGACATTCTAACAAACCCACTTACACAGATTTCTCACTCTAAAATTCACAGGGCATCCTGGCAAAGATCTTTTAATTTCCTCCCACTTGTGTCTAGAAAAGATTAAAAGTTCAGTATGAATTTTTCAATGTTAAGTTACAGGATCTGGACTTTGGCTTTGCTGAAAGTGTGCAGGGATTAGAGCTGAGACCTCATTGAGGAATATCAGAGAACATGTCTTGATGACTTTCTTCCTTTCGAAAGCTTATTTGACCATAGATTCCTCACCTGACAGTTTTGAGGATCAGCAGGAACCTGGGCAAAATGGTCCCTGAAAGGGGGTTCAGTTCCTGAGGGCATAATTGCTTCCCACAGGAGGATACTCAGGTTAACATGGGGTTGACAGCTTGAAGTAGGCCAAGTCCCTCCCTGGGGCAGGAAAGGAGCAAAGGAAATGAGGCTGGAGCAGCCTGGTCATAGGAGACTTCGCCAAAGATTGTCTCTAGAATTGCAGAGCCTGGGTCTTTAGCTCTCTTCCTGAGGCTGAATTTATAAATCAACTGTTTCAACACTATGTAATGTTAGAATTGGCTGAAATCAGAGCTTTGGAGGAGGCACTTTTTGCTTTCATTCCCAAAGTAGCACAAAGGTCAAAAGAGGCTGCAGGACGGTGAGCAGTCCTGGGGGTAGGGGTTGCCTATTCTGCATTGTCAGGCTCTTTGGGGAACCGCTTCTCCAGATCCCCAAAGAGGTGAATGGGAGATTCCCCAGATTTCACACTGAAGCTTCAGCTGAATCCCTTGGTCAGGGGCCTCTTCTCAAGAGACTCTGTTTTCTGCGTCCCTCTCAGGCCTCCTCCCACAGCCCGAGCCCCAGCCTCCTCGCACCTTGACTGTGTCCAGCGGGTGCCCCACGAACACCAGGCACATGCCGCCAAAGCCTCCGGCCAGCAGGTTCTTAAGTGGACTGATGGGCTTCGCCTCGTCTGCCATGGTCCGTCCTTCAGTGTGTCTGTCTGTTCCCAGCCGGTCCTGCTCCACTGCCCCAGCCTCGCCTTCTGCACCGTCGACCTTTCACCCACTTTCTGGTGGGCGGGGTTAGAGGCCGGGGCTTGTCTGGAGGAGGACCAGGATAGCTGGGCCCGACTTCCGCCTCCCAGGTTGCTTCCGGTGATGATCCCGCCTCCTGGTGGGTGTGGCTTGAGGGTAAGCCTGGCAGTATTTGCGAGTGCGGGACAGATGGGTACGCTCCTCGTGAAAGTTTTCCGACCTTAACTATTTCCTCCTACTTGATTAATTTCCTTCTCTGTCCAATTTCTAATATCCGCGTAAGTCGACTGCGCCCCGCAACGTACCAGGCGCCCTTCCATGAACTGGAGACACTGCACGGCACACGGGTGCCTATCATTGTGTTCATAGACCATAACAAAGAGTGAATAATGCAGTGTGTCAAATAGTCATAATTGCTATGGAGAAAAACATACAAAGCCAATTAAAAAGTATGGGAGACTAGTAATTTGCAATGTTAATTAGGTGACTAAGGGAGGGTTTCACTGACAAGGTGACTGGATTCAAGACCTGAGAAGGTGAAGGAGCACTGTCCACAGATTTGGGGTGGAGGTTGAGAGGCCTTTCAAGAGAGGAAAATAAAACAGGCAAAAACCCCGGCCTGGGCCCGAAGTGCTCTGCCTGGCCATTTAACGATCCACAGACTGACCTTTGTGGCTACAGCAGAATGAAGGGGAGGAAAAAGAGTAGCTGATTGACATGGAACACAGGTATATCATACCCGGCTTTGTGCCACTGTGAGGACATCAGCCTATTCTCTAAAATGAGAACCATTCTGGGGTTTTGAACAGGCTGTGACGTTTTCTGACTTATAAGTTAACAGGATCCCTTTAACTGCTAGGTAAGAATAGACAGCAAGAAGCAAGAGAAAGCAGGGAGCCCTGAAGAGCTGAAGGTTAAGGCTAGAGATACTGACTTGGATTAGGGTATAGTAGAAGTGTTGGTTTAAAGTATTTGGGTTCCATATACATTCTGAATGAAGACTCTAAAAGGAATTGTTAGTGAGTAGAAAATAAGATGTGTAAGAAGAGTTTAAAATGATGCTAATCTTTTTTGCCTTATTGATAATGTAGTGAATCCAAGTATTCGCTACATTATTCTTTCACCATTTCTGTATGTTTGAAGATTTTCTAATTTTCACATATGTTTCCTTGCCCAAGGTAACATGCTAGGATGATCCCAAATAGGGATTCTAACCTTGCACATCTGTCTCCCCATCCCACTCTCTGTAGCCTACTATGCCAAAACCTGTGATAGAAAGTTTTGGATGGTTTGAACAGGGAAAATTTATCTTTTATGCTTTTAAAAGATCTTTCTGGACAATGTATAGAACAGATACCTGCAAAATAACATACCAAATAGGTCGGTTCTACTTTTGGATAGCAAGGAAAATCTGTGCTCCTCATAGCAATTTTATTTTTCTGATTTGTGCATCTTCTAGAAGAAAGTTCCTCAGCTGCATGACTATGGGTCTCCTTTACTCACTGTTACACTTAACATGGTGAATTGCCTTTAGCTGGGTTCAAAGAGAGGCATTTTTAAAAGGTTATGTGGCAGTACGTATCACAATGTAAAATGAACATAACAGTTTACTTACCAGTTCTATTCCAAGGACTATAACTCAAAGCTTTTTCACAAACAGAAGTCCATTCAGGAATGTTCACTGTAATATTTGTAATTGTGGCAAATTGGAAACAGATGACCTGCAAAAGGAGAATCATCAAGAAGATGACAATATATTTATATTTATAATAGGAAATACTGAGATGGGGGTCCAATACAGTGGAAAGAGAACAGGCTCTGAGAGAGCTAGAGTGAGACTCTTACCTTAGCTACTTTGCAGCATTATGACTTTGGGCAATTACCAAAAACCCTTGGGCAAAACCTGTCTGTCTTAGTTTGCTCATTTGTGAACTGGAGCTAAGAATAACAACTTCTACTAAATGGAATCAGAATTATATATAAATTACTTATATATATGACATAATGAAAAGAGTGTGTAAAAGTGTAACTGTAAGATATATATATATATATATGTGAAGAGAAGGTCCGGAAGGACCTGGAAGAATGTGCAGTAAACTCTGGGCAATGGCAATAACCCTGGATAGAGAGCTGCAGGGAGTTCATGAGAAATTCACATATTGCTATTTATATTGTTCTATATGAAATGTTTATATTAATATATTTATATTCGGGCCCTCCCTGGTGGTGTAACAGGTTGGAGTGCAGCACTGCAAGGCTGGCCTCAGCCACTTCCATGCAAGTTTGATCCCTGCCCTGAGGGTGACCCATATGGCGTGGCAGACCCTCCTGCCTGCTTCTCCGTTCAGCAGTGTACTCCGTCAGTTGGCCTGTTTTGCTCCCCACTCTGACTCTGGTGAATACTCTCACTGCCCCTGCGCCTCTGGCCTATACCCCAGTTCTGTATGCATAAATAAATCTTTTATATATATATATATATATTCAACTTTAATGTATCAATTTACTAATAGTATAATTAATACAATTATATAATCAATAAAGGTAAAGATGAGTAAGATAATAGTTATATGCTTGAGCTAAGTCTACTTCAATAGACTTTTTTTCCAAAAAGTAACCACATCAACATGTGTTCCACTAGACATACTTTTCTTATGGGTGAAATGCAGTTTGTATTCCCTGATGAAGAATGGGACTTCATTTCCTCCCCTTGAACCTGAACAGAACTTTGTAGTTGCTTAGACCAATAAAATGTGGTAGAAGTAATGTTGTTTGATTTCAAACCTAGGTCATAAAAAGAGATAGTTTCCACTTGACTCAAAGACACATCCTTTGAACCTAGCTACTATGCTATCAGGCCATATGAAGAGGTATTCTGTATGTGTATTCTGGCTAACAGTCCCAGCTAATCTCTAAGGTGACAGCCACCATCAACCATCATTATGTATGAGTAAATAACTCTTCCTGGGATTCCTGTTTTCATCCTTTTGAGTATTTTTTAAAAAGATTTATTTATTTATGCGTACAGAACTGGGGTACAGGTCAGAGGTGCAGGGGCCAGGAGAGAATTGACCAGAGACAGAGTGGGGAGTAGAATAGGCAGATGGATGAAGTACACTGCTGAGGGGAGCCCTCAGCAGGTCAGGAGAGGTCTGCCATGCCAGGTGGATCACCTCCCTTTGGGCCTGGGGCTTGATCTCACCCTGAAGGGGCTGCAGCTCCCTTGCAGTGCTGAGCTTTAACCTGTTGCCCCACCAGGAAGGGCTCTGCTAAATATAATTTAAAGGGGTGTTTTATCCAAAGAAGTTAAATAAGCACACTGGATTATGGTAAACTTTTATGTTGCTAATACATACAATTCATCACCTTGTATTATTTGGTACTACTAATTTCACTCCAAATTAATTTGGGGCTTTGTAACATTTGATTGCTTTGTAACATTAGATATATGCTGAGTGAAAATGGATGCTGAAAGTTATATATAACATATGAACACATGCAACAAGCAGGAACTCTCACATAAGGTATCTCGAATATAAGCATATAAACAACTTGTATATAGGTGGAAATGGTTTAGGTTATCTATGGGCTTGCACATGGAGTCTGGCGGCTTCCTGGCATTACTGACATCACGAGATTTCAACTGCTGTACAGCAACTAAGTTTCCACGGCTCGTTCTACGAACAATACTTGACAAGACGTCCTAGGAGGTACTAGAAATCACAATGGTATGCCCTATAGTGTATGAAGAAACTGTGTAGCAAGGCAGTCATATTCAACCTAGTCCGGTGAAGGAGAACTGGGCGGCGAAGCTGGCAGCGGAGAGGGAAGTAAAAGCCCAGCTTGGTGGTCCAACCGGCTACAGCCTCCGACCGCAAGCAGCTATTCCCGGCGTTTGTAACCGACCACCCCAGACAGCGGCAGGGAACCAATCCTTCATCCACTCCTCAATGGTCAAGGGGTCTCCTCCGTGCAGACACTCCAGTACAGAGGAGTGAGAAGTCCACTGAAAACAATGGGTGAAAATATTGGTTAAAAACATCCCGCGGGCGGAGCTGGTAGTCGGAAGCCGGAAGAGATGCCCTGAACACCTCCAATAAACGCTCTCCTCGGCTGCCTCCCGCTACTGTCGGTGCTGCCCGTGCTCCGGTCAGATTCAGGGTTACAGCATCGGGTTGCAGAGTAACTGCCGCCAGAAAGCGTTACCACTCAGCGATTGTGCGACCCCAGCGACCGCGGAACGACCCCGGGCCGGAAATGACGCAACAGCGCCGAGCACTTCCGGAGCTGCGGAGTCTGCTCCTCCGGAGGAAGCAGCGCGGGCCTTGACCGGCGCCGGCCCGCAACCTCTGCCGCCGCTGCACCTGGGTCCGATCTCTGGTCGGACCCGCCCCGGACTGTCCCACCCGGGCTCAGCGGCCGCGAGGTCGCGACTCCCGGTAAGTGCTCGGCGCGAGTCCGGGCCTTGTTTACCCTGGCGGGCCGGGGGAGGGAGTGGGTTCTCCGCGCGCCTCCCTAGCCGGCCCGGGCTCCGCCTTCATCGCCGCCCGCGAGGCCCGGAGTCCCTTGGCCACCGGTAGACGGTCTCAGGCCTCTTCGTCGCCCCAGCCGTGGAGAGGCAGCTAAGGGCTGCGGTCGGTGCGGGCTGGTGCCCGGCGTCTCTCCTTTCCCCCTCCACCCTGTGCCGTCTCAGCTCGCCGAGAGGTCGGAGGCCAGCGCCTCTGACCCACGGGCGCCGGCGCATCTAGGCCCTCCCGTGCCGAGTGCGCCTGGGAAACGCGCCGCCTTTGGGGCTCCCCATTCGAGTCAACATTGGGAGCTCTCAAAGTGCCGTCGGCGCGGTTAGTTAACGTCCGCCTGTGGAGGGGCCCCCAGCGCGTGGGCCCCGTGTCCTCGCGGTTCTCCTGGCACTTCGGAAGGGACTTGGCCCAGGAACTGCGCTGCTGTCTCGTCGGACGCTGTGTTAGTTGCGGGAGAGGCAGCAGCATTCTGATGACTTCATCTCAGTAGTAATCTTGCTCTGTCCCATAGAACTTTGTGCGACAATGAACGTAATGCTGTACTTTCGCAGTCTAGGAGGGTAGCCACCTGCCCCATGTCGAGCATTTTGACTTGTGAGTGAAAAAGCACATTTTAAACTTCATTTAACTTTTAAAATTACGTTTTAATATCACAAGTCGCGAGTGGCTACCATATTAGGACAGAATAGGTATGGAAACTTAAGTTGCTGATTTATATTTTTGTCAGGTGGTTTTCTGAGAAGATCAGTATCATGACTGGAGTCAATAAACATTATCATACTCAAAAGTCTGTGTTTTATTCTTAACCTATTTTAAATCGAGAAATCTGCAGCTTGGATCCTTACTTCAGAGTGGGTTCTTCTGAGTGATTTTGACTCTGGAAAAAGGTGATTCCTTTCCTTTCCTGTCTTAGATATAGGAACGACATTTAATATTTAAAGAAAATCAAGGCATCACCATCATTTCTTTTAATAAGGCAGTAACATACTGGTCCTTTGGAGCAATGTCTGCTCTCTAGTTCAAGTAGAATAGGGAACTTCGAAAAGATGAAATGCTAAGTTTTTATTAAAATCTGATCCACAACACCCAGTAAGTACAGTATTTTAAGTTTTGGAAGGGAGGCTGAAGTTTTCCCTTGCGTCTTAAACATTTACTTGTTAAGTCTATTTCTGTGGTCAGCTGCTTAACCAAATCCTGGGGAAAAATCCTTAGAATATGAAAAACATACCCTTTCTGGTTCTGGGAATAGTTCTGTGGATAGAATCAGGTTCTTGGGGTGAAGGGGAAGAAGTTGTTGGGGAGCTATGAATTCCTAGAGGAGATGGATCTGATGGAAATATGACTGGGCTCTGCAGTTCCCGCAGTTTGGTTCTAGGTAAGTTACATAACCTTTTTTGAACTCTAACTTCCTCTTTTGTTAAGGGAATCATAGCTACTTCTTAAGGTTGTGATGGTTTAATGAGAAATCTGTCTTGAAATTGGCTCTGTTGAATGACAGCTATTATTGGTAATGATATTTTGTAGATGAGAGCAACATTCATAGATTGTGTTTGGCCACGGAGCACTGTCTTAAGTAAGCAGTTAAAAGAAAAAGGTTTATAATCGATTATTCCTCTACTGTTTGGGAAGTAATCTTCAATTATTGCTTGAATTTTAACTTTAGTTTATATCTGTCTATCTTCAAGTATTTGTTTGGAACTTATAATCTCTGATTTTCCAAGCAGTTCTAAGGGATAAAGAAAAAGACATAAAATTTCTAATTGAGTAAGATAGTACCTAGCTAGTCTTGGATAGTGGAATTTATATCGCTGAGAAAGCCAGATACTCCTTCAGCACATCAGAAAAGAGTTAGGAAATGGGTGTTAATATTGCCTAGTGGGCATCCTATTGAAGACATTTTTTATTTGAAAATAAGTTTTTCATGAGTTAGGTGAGATCTGAAATCTTTGCGGCAATCTAAGTGTTAAATTAACACAGTGGAGATTACTTTATAATAAAAGTCCAATTTTAAGTCAGTTATAATTTACTTTCTCAGCCTGTATGTGATATATAGGTTGACATTGTGGTAGTTAATTTAGAGAAAATGAATGATAGGATCAAGGTGGTGGGTTTTAAAAGTAAGGGGGGGAATTTGCATCTGTTTCAGTTAACTATGCACTGATAACCTAAGTTAAATTACTTTCACCTGTTCAGTTTGAATACTTTCTTGTTTTAATGTACCACTTACCTTGTGAACATAGTTTTGACTTGGATTTCTACAGGACTTAAAATGATGTTGTATTGCTGCTTATCCTTCAAAAATGCCTTTGCTTTTTAAAAATTTATAAAAGTAGGGGTCCCTTTTCATAATACATAAATAGAATTCTTTCTTTTCGTTTTAGATGGAAATCATATGACATAGAATATTTGGGTGACATCTTCCTGAAAGATTTCCAAGAATAACAGGTATCTTTTAAATTTAAAGATAATTTTTTTCTCCTAAAGGAAAATTACATAAGTTCATTTGTGAGTAGGTGGTTGGTTCTACAATACAAAACAATTTCTAAGAAGTACAACTGCAGATATATTGCTGTCTTCTCACTAATATGACTTTTTAAAAATTTTGAGCATTTATAGTTGACATCAAATTTAGATTCAGTGATCTTTTTATTATATCATTTTAAAGTGACTCTAGTCTTTTAGTATTCTAGTTGCATATTTAGTACATTTTATTTGTCTCCTCTAATTTTTTGAAGAGAGTGATTTATCTTTTTCAAATAAACTTTGTATTTGCTGTTGTGTCTAATCCAGATTTGTTATGCAATTCTTTTTCACACCATTTAATCCAAATACTCTTGATTTCTAAGACCCTATTAATTTTTTAGATTTAAATCACTGTTTGATTCTGTTCTTGCAAATGATCACTTGAAATAGTACTACTTGTAAAGAGAAGTAAATGGGTATTTACCAAAATCTCTGAGATGAAGTTAGGATGTTTTGACTATTTTGCTTCCTAAGCTAGAGTTCTCTATGTCTATGAAAATTGAGTAGCATTTTTGATCTGTGTATATTTTTCAGTAGCTGGATCCACTTAACCACTTGTTTCTTCAGTTTAGATTCTGGTTTTCCCTAGCTTTGATCCGGCTAAGGCCAAATACCTGTAGTTTTTCATTTCTATTTGGTTAATTTTTTTTTTTTTTGCTACTAATTATCCCTTTAAAAAAGGATCAGGGCCCTCCCTTATGGCACAATTGGTTAGGATGTACACTGCAAGCTAGCTGCAACCACTTCAGTGCCATTTTGATCTCTGGCCTCTGAGGTGACCCACAAGGCACAGCAGACCTCTCCTGTCTCACCTGCTGCTTCCGTCAGCAGTGTACTTCGGCGATCTGCCTGTTCTGCTCCCCACTCTGCCTCTGGTGAATCCTCTCACCCCCTACACCTCTGACCTGTACCCCAGCTCTGTATGCATAAATAAATAAATCTTAAAAAAAAAAAAAAGATCAGTACAACCCTTTCAAATTGAAAAGCCAGTTAACTTTTCAGATTATAGAATAATGAAGTGCTCTGTGGCTTATATTTTTCTTTACTAACCACACACTAATTTCTAGATATTTGAGAGTCATGTCTGTGAAACAGTAGATTCTTTTCTTGGATGTCATATTGGGAATCCTAGTGTCCCTATTTTTGAACTGTCTGTTGCACCACTCAGTGAGGCATGATTGGTAAGCCTTTAGGTTACTTTCCCAGTGGGCAGCTATGGGGATTTGCTTTTTTCATAAAGACTGACAGAAAGGACAACTCCATGGAATTTTTTCCCCCCAAAGATTGATTTACTTATGCGTACAAGAGCCAGGATGTAGGCCAGAACTACTGCAGGGGTAAGAGAGGATACAGATACAAAGTAGGGAGCAAAACAAGCAGATCTACTGAAATATACTGCTGAGGGGAGCAGCAGGCAGATCAGGAGAGGCCTGCTGCACCATTGGTCAGCTCTCTGTACAGGGATCAAACTCATGCTACAGTGGCTGTGGATAGCTTCATAGTGTTGAAACTTAACCCTTGCACCACCAGGAAGGCCCAGTCCATGAAATTTGATTCCTTGATGTGGACCAGACAACCTTATTCTTTCATGCCAGGCTCTTCAGGTGTAGTTACCATTATCAGCCACTTTTATCACTCCAGGAAAGGATTTCACTTTGGTAAGCCTGGGCAGAGTGATGATGGTAAAATTTCTTAAATGAAACCAGAATTAGAATAGACAATAGTGGAGGTATTCTTGATTTTGAATAGCTTATATTATAATTTCTCATAGTGAAAGTAACACTTTTTTCTTTTCCTTCCTTAGAAGAAAAAACACTAATGCATTTGAAAAAGTGGTAATATTTGGGGAGAGGGGAAAAAAACTGCTTTCTTGATCTGCAACTTGACTGGATGCTAAGATGTCTGTGGACATGAATAGCCAGGGATCTGACAGCAATGAAGAGGACTATGATCCAAATTGTGAGGAGGAGGAGGAAGAGGAGGAGGAAGAGGATGAGGACCCTGGGGACATAGAGGACTATTATGTGGGAGTAGCCAGCGATGTTGAACAGCAGGGCGCCGATGCTTTTGACCCTGAGGAGTACCAGTTTACCTGCTTGACCTACAAGGAGTCTGAGAGTGCCCTCAACGAGCATATGACCAGCTTAGCCTCTGTTCTAAAGGTGAGCAGTGCTGTCAGTTCCCCACATAATCCCCCAAATTAAACACGAGGTGTTGTTAACTAATGTCTCCTCTAAACTGACTGAATGGCCCTATAACTTCAAACCAAATTTAAGAATAAGTTGTACCATTTGGACACATTTGATACATTTTCTTTGTTTTCTAATATTTGTGTATCTAAGGACTTCAGATTCCCAAATTGCTAAGAATTCAAAAGGAGGGATGGGGTAATTTCAGAAAAGATAGAGCAGAAGTACATAGAAGCAGAATTGCATAAATTAACACTTGTTTCAGAAAGTGGGTCTTAAGGAACTTTATGAACTAAGATTGGTAAGCATCAGAAGCACCATCTTCTGTACAACTATGTGTGAGTGACTGATAAATGTCCTGAGAGTCTCAGCCCCCCTGGTTCTCCCTGAATAATCATACCCCCTCTGGGATAATGAACTCATTTCTTTTGTACATTGATAACTAATGTCTAATGTTGAGAATCCTATTTTTAACACTTTAACATACTTTACAATGTCTTGCACCTCAGGCCAATTATTATCCTCACTATGTAGATATATTTTGTATTGTGTAGTATTACACTAGTGCAGAATATATATACTCACATAGCACGCTATGTGCTGTAAATGTTTTTACAGTCGTTTTGACAGTTTTCCAGCTTCTTTTTCCTCTAACTCTAGCCATTATGTGAAAGTGGAGAAATTTCTTTTTTTACTGTTTTCAGAAATCATTTGGATATTCGACTGTTCAAATAGAAGGTCAGGGGTACATCAGCATGATTTTAGGAAAAACATTTTTCCCCCATGTGGTCAGCAAAGGCTAACTAATTCCTTAACTTTAGCTCTACCAAGGCTTTATTAGCTGGAAGTTGAAAACTCAAGCTTTGTTGTTTTTTTTTAAATGACTCCTTAAAGTGACTACTGCCTCCAGGGGGCATTTCCCTGCTAGAAGAGGCATCAGATCTCCTCACCATACCATTACCTATCTAGTCAGTTTCTTTTATTTTAACTATATGTCAGGTTGTTACTTAGAAGTATTAAGAGGAACAGTCAGGTATATGACTATGTGTTGGATACTATTGATTGATTAATCAGAATGTTCCCATCTCTGCACAGGACTTCTGTTTGTCTGTGCTGACTTTCTATTTGCCAGAGAGAATTCAGTGATCCAGGCACCTGCTTGTCCTTTTTTCAGAAGCTGTGTTAAAATGCATGTATAAAAAATTTACCATTCTGTATCTGTCTTACTAGACTGACATAGGGTTAGCTCTCTTCATCTCTTAGTGTCCTCGGGGCTCCTTCAAAGTAGAGTCTAGCTTGTGTCTTCTCTGAACTTTGTGGAGACATCCTAGGACATAGTGTTTGTGCCTTCTTTTGGTTTCAGTGCTCAAAATATATTCCATGAATCATATGGCAGTCTTTGACTATTGTTTTCTTTTCAAGTATTTTTGCCTAATCTCTCCCAATAATATTATTGCTGCTTTGGAGTAGAAACTGCTTTATACCTTATTTCCACCATCATTTTGGTCACAGTGTTTCATATAGTAGGTACAGAATGTTTGATTGGATGCTTGATGTTGGTAGCTGATGCTGTTGGTCTAGCTAGAGTCCCTAGTCCTTGGTGTGTACTTCCTTCTCTACTGTTGTTATTATGGCCCTGAAGATCATGATGGAGCAAAAATCTTGGAGGTGAAGAATAAAGAAGAGATGGGAAAAAATTGAAATAAAAGGAAAGGATTAAAGAGAAAATGAGGCAAAGAACAAAATAATCCACAAAAATATAAATGATGATAGAAGATCTCTTTTCCCTTCTTCCTTAGACCTCTCTGAGTAGCTTGTTAATACCATTTTCTTTCTGATCTAGGCACAAGGATCTTGGCTTTTTGGTGACTACATGTAAAGGGTCTCTGGTATTTTAATTAATTCAGGAATTTGACTGGTTTGACAGAAACAGTTTGAGTATGAGTAAATTAGAAGTAATCACACACAATCTTCCTTTTCCAGGATGATTAAAATTTAACATTGTTTTTAGTTTTGTAATTATTTTGAAATGGGAAGGAATAATTGAAGTTCTGAATTTACAGAATGGTATTTACAGGTCTTATGGGCTGCTCTGAAAGTGGAGATCTGTAGACATCACCCAGATCCTTCATTAGGCTGTTTGTACAGTTCTCTGACACATTGAGATATTTAATTCTTTAATATGATTTGGGTGCTGTTTGACTAATAGAAAATATAACATTGATGCCTAAAGTTATATAGCCTTATGAACAGCTGTCTGAACAAAAACTTAATTAAGTGACTTAATTTTTACCAGTACTGAGGTCTGTGTTGTTTTTTTTTTGTGTGTGTGTGTGCTGGCTGTTGCTTATCGATGAGTCATAGTCTGCAAAAGTTAAAACCTTATATTGCCTTTTGGAATGCATTGCTTTTTAGAAGAAGTCTCTTAGGTATAAATATCCCAGTAGCTTGGGACACTACCTTTTGGTTTAATAAAGGGCCCCTGGTGTCCATTGGGTAACTTCCAGTATATGTTTAGGGACCAATTCATAAAGTATGATCATTAATTGAGAAAATCAAATCAAGGGCTGAGAAAGACAGTGGAATCTGTGCTTGTCTGTTATTGGGGGAAACTACTGTTGTTCAAATAATGGTGAAACACAAACATTATTTAAAAAATGAGCTATCATACTACACAAATGGAAGACACTACTAGGTTGGGCATTATGTTGTAGAAAGGGAAAAATCTCTGAGAAAAAGTATTCTTTGTGATCATGTATGAATCTTTAAAGTAAACAAAGCTACCTTTTTAATGAACTATATATGACACACAGGATAGTTTTATTATATTATTACAGATGAGAGGCCCTTTCTAGTCATAACATGCATTTTTATTGCCAAGATGAATTTTGTCCCCAGTGAATCCTATTATGACTGTTGCATAAACTCATGAGGCATTTTGCTGGCACTCTGCTAAGGAGGGGTCAGCCATGATAGAGTCCCTGACAGAGCCCATCCAGCTTTCTTTGGGGATGTGCCAGAGGTTTCCCTTATCTTGTGGTTCTTGTCTCAGTAGTAAGTAGAGTTGTAGGTAAGAGAGGATACAATGTTCTTGATGGCTATACCCAATTGCTTAAGAAGGGAGAAGACAATGTTGCCGCATTCTCAAAGAAAAAAATCTTGAGTCAGAGCTAGTCCATAGAGCTATCAAACTTTATGTTGACAGGAGAACCTTGAAAATAGTGTAGAACCTTAAAGATGGTATAGAACAGTGGTGGTAACAAAAGCACAGGACCCCAAGTGGATAAGCATAGAGGTGGGAAAGTTACCTCCTGAGCTAAATTGGGAGACTAAGATGTATAGGTAAAAAAGGAATAAAAGGTGGAAGATCATGAGATAACTTTTCTGCTAGAGTAAAGGAATAGATTTTTTTTTTAACTTCTCAACACTGAACTTTGCTGCTTAGTTCACAAGGCTGGTGTTTCTCAGATAGAATTGGAGAACTATGCTGGTTATTTTGAGTGTTTTTTACTTCAATTCCTCTTGCTTTATGAATTGCTATGTTAATTGCAACACAGCAGGGAAAATGTCCCCTAGAACACACTATTCTGCAACCCATTTGCTTGAATTTGTTTTACGATCTGATGTTTACTGTTTAGCAAAATGTAACTGCAAAATCTCTTAAGATTCTTTTGTGGATCATTTTTCCCCCATCAGGAGGAATCATAATGAGTTTTTATGGCTCCTGTCTCTTTATGTGCAGAAGTCTTTATAGTCCTGGATGCAGATCAACTTGTTTCTATGAATTTATTACTTGTCATTTGCTCAGTTGATGCTCTTAACACAGAAGACCTTAGATTTAGCCTTTCACTTAAGTGGCACCAAGTTTTTACACATGTTATCTGGAAAATATCAAATCAACTCTCTTGTATCCTGGTACAGCTGAATTTTAAGCCCATTTTATTTTTATGTCTTCATTAAATAATGGTTGGGTATTTTTCTTAATACGCATGGGGAAGTCAAAGCTGGGACTAGCAAAACTGAGCAGCCATCTGATTTCTATTTTTATGAGTGATGTCAGGTTTCTTTGCATGCCTATATCTTAGAATCTAGAGTGAATTCCTGTGTTTCAAATAGTTGGTTGATAGTGGATATGTTAACTTATTTCATGATGCATTTATCTGAAAAGCTGATGTGTTTTACTAATGTATAAATTTATTTTTAAAGGGAAAATTAGAAATGTCCATAGTGACATTGAGAATTGCCTAAGTACAGCTAGTACTAGAGTCATCTCTGTCTTGCCAGCTTTGAAAGGTTATTGCCATCGTTGGCTTTGTGTGCTCACTGTGTACCTGGCACCATATATAACAGTGCATCAGCGTCCAGGAAAGAAACTCTTCATCACATTCAGAGCCAGCTGTCATTTTAGTTTTTTTGTTTTGTTTTCACAGTATCTTAAGAACCATATAAACTATGTAGTCAAGGGGTGATTCTAATCCTGAATTTATTTATATTTAACTTTTTAAAAATTAATTATTTATTTTTAAAGATATTTATTTATGAATACAGAAATGGGGTACAGGCCAGAGCTGCAGGGCCGGTGAGAGGATTCACCAGAAACAGAGTGGGGAGCAGACTAGGCAGATCGGCAACTGAGGGGTGCAGCAGGTGAGACAAAAGAGGTCTGCTGCGCCATTTGGGTAACCTCTGGGGCGGGGATTGAATTCTCACTGAAGCAGCCACGGCTTGGCTTAGCTTCTCAGTATAGTGCTCCAACCCATTGCGCCACCAGAGAGGGCCCTATATTTAACTTTTTAATATTAAGATGTTACAATACTACTAGAGAATATCATCTTGTTCATAATTCAGTTAACCTAAAATATATTTTCTTTTTAGCTTAATCCTTCAGGTCTTACCCATACTCATAGGTAATATTGAACACTAATGTGCTAGGCATTAGAAAAATAGCTGTGAACAAAATAGAAGAAGATCCC